GCTTGATTTTGGAATAATGTCTGTTGCACTTTCAAATGAATATATTGAATGCAGGTAGTAAGGTAAATTAGGTATTGCAGATGTGATGTAGAGAGTTTATCAATAATATTTGAAGGGAGGGAGGGGAGATCTTGATTTTTCAAGTTAGTGATGGAATGGTTTATAATGTTGTTGATGTGTTTTTTGAGTAAAGGAAATTGATGAATCTTAAATAATTTATATTTTATCCATCTTTTAAGTCGGTTATTGAGATTTGTTGTGACAATTTGTAATGTATTGCTGTGCAGCAGAGGAGAGAAGTTGTCCTAATGATTTTTTATTTGTCCAACTCATTCCTTGAGGTTGATATTGTGTATAGAGGGTATCTCAAATATTATTTATGATGGGTTCATTGGTGGTGTCAGGGGTGTTTTTGGATGTAGTTACAACTTGGAAACATTGCCTCATATACTTGAAAGCACCTTTCACTTGTGTTTAAAGGAAATTGATCACCAAGGGTCATGTGATAAAGTGCTGTTTGGTTAGCCAATCGAGAGCCTTCAAAAACAATTTGAGTCATTCTTTCAACAGCACTTTGGATTGCAGGCTCAAGATCTTTATCTTTAAGGAATCCTCCAAGTCCAGTTTTTTACTGTGCATCATTTGTATTTTGTGTTTTTTTCTTGAACAGATTTGGATGCACACTATTTTTGAAATTTACAAAGGTTACTTGAAGAATGTGAATGATCAGTCCCCTTACAAGTTGGACAAGGATGTTCTAGATATTTAAAAAAAATATATTAAGTGATTCCTAAAAAATAAAGGCAGATAAATGGTAAATATTTACTTGATTCTTTTTGTTGTTGTTCTTTGTTTATGTCCTCATTTGCTTTTCTTTTAGCTGCATTTTTAGAAGATTCTGCATATGGTATATCTGTTTCTATATTAATATTTTTGCATTTTTTTGCAAGAATCTCTATTTTGTCATTATTGGGAGCTTTTCATTTGCTTGTATGTATTAACATTGAAATGATAAAACAGAATTAACAAAATTCTAATCATGAAAAAAAATGGTTGAGAAAAAAAGTTGTTTTTTTGGTTTAAAATGGATGATGATATTGTATTATTTGCTAAAGGAAATTGGAAGGAAATTGAATAAATTTTTTTTTTGAAAAGATTGAAAAAATCACATCATTTGTTTACTTTTTATAAGAAAAGCGTCATTTTATTATTAATTAATTGACAATTGAATTGATTATTTATTTATCCCTGTTGGGATAAAAATATTGTTACCAGAATTAAACTTTGACAAAGATCTTTTGGCCAAATCTCTTAATTCTGGGACAATTTAATCTCTATTTTTATTTATTTTATTATTATTTTCTAATTGTTTATTGTTTACGTCCCATATATTTAATTATCTCGTAACATGTTAATATTTATTTAATTTTATTTAAACAAAAAAAAGAAAAATACTCCACCACCAGGGTGGTCGTGACATGGCAAATGTTTGTTTCTTGTTAATTAAATATTTTTTTTTTAAATAACAAATGAATGAATTCCAAATTGTTTTTCTAGTGGTGATGCTAATACTAAATCAATAATGGATTAATTTCTTGCTGGTATTTTTAGTAGTAGGAGAGGATTTTTTTCAAAAAAAGCTTAATTAATTTTCTTTAACAACACATTTTTGGAAAAGGCTCGATTTTAATCAAGTGATTTCTTTTTCAATTTTTTTTTTTTTTTACTTATAAATACAACCTCTGAATGTTTTAAAAAAAAATTGGGAGTGATCATGATCATGATCAATGATTAATGATTAATGATCAATGATCAAAAGATTTATACAATGCAATCAATTTTGTGAAACGAAGATTTTCCTTTTCTTTTGAAAATTTCCAGAGATAGTATTGTTGCCAATTCTTTCTAAATATTACCAAAATATTGCCAATCTTTTCTAAATTGTTACAAAGTATGTTGCACTGATTTGATTAAGTTGTATTCTTTCGTTGGATTTATTGTTGATCATTTTGATAAATGAAGATCAAATTGAAAACTCCAATTTCTTTACAAGAGTTTACAATTTTAATAAATAAAATTCCTATAAAAAATGGTGAAACACTTGGTAAATTTTTTTTTGTTTTCACTCTATTATTATTTAATTCATTCATTTATAAATAATATATACGATCTATGTTTATAAATTAATCAGGAGTGGCAGTTTCTGGTGGAGTTGATAGTATGACTTTATGCTATATGTTAAATAAAAGTGTAAAGGAATATTCAAGATTTAATAATAATAATAATAAAGTTTTGGCACTCATAATTGATCATAAATTACGTGAAGATAGTATGGCTGAATCCTTGAATGTGTCAGATACATTATCAAAAATTGGTTTGTTCTTTAATCATATCTATATAATATAATATAGTAGATTAAATTATTAATTATTTTTTATGAATGATAGGTATTAATAACAGAATCATGACAATTCAATGGAACAAACATATTACTCATAATAATGATAATAATAATAAAAATAACATTTTTTCAAATCTTGAATCTTCAACATCAACATCAACATCAACATCAACATCAACATCAACATCAACATCAACATCAACATCAACATCAACATCAGTGCCATTACCAAATTATCCAACAGTTTCTCAATTAGAAACAATGGCACGGATCGAGAGATATAAACTGTTGGCAAAACTATGTAAAGAAAATAATATAAAATTTTTATTTTTGGGTCATCATTTAAATGATCAATTGGAAACCATGATAATGCGGTTTTCTAGAGGTAGTGGGATAGATGGTTTAGCTGGCATGGATACCCTCTATACACAATATTGACCTCAAGGAATGAGTTGGACAAATAAAAAATCATTAGAACAACTTCTCTCCTCTGCTGCATGGCAATATGTTACAAATTGTCAGAACCACATAACAACAAATCTTGATAACTGACTTAAAAGATGGATAAAATATAAATTATTAAGATTCATCAATTTCCTTTACCCAAAAAACACATCAACACCATTATAAACCATTTCATCACTAACTTGAAAAAT